CCACTCAACTGCCGGCCACAGCCCTGAAGCCAGGTGATGCTACCCAGAGTGATCAGGACGGTGATGGGGGTGGCGCAGGGGCACTAAACTTGGGCTGCTGGGGTCCAAAGGGCCCCGGAGGAGGTAGCACCCGAAGAGGAAGGCATCAGTCAGAAGGGAGAAGGCAGCAGGCAATGGAGCTGCATCTGATCCATCATGGGGCATCAGGAGGCCAGGGTAGCTGGCTGCCAGAGTCCCCAGCCCCAGCCTCCCCCCTCCCCCCAGTCACTCCGCACCCAGGCCTGGAGCCCTGGAGGACCTCCGCTCCCCTCCCCTGGGCCCGCCCCATCTTCACGCCCTGCTGCCTGGAATCTGAGGCAGCCCTTGTTCTCTGGCAGGAGGGGAATTTAATGCCGCTGAGGGATGGCAGGTCGACAGGCGAAGAGAGATGAAAGTGTCCGCTCTGGCAGCCGGGTCGGGGCCTCGGGGGGACCCTCCTGCAGCCCCCCCCCACCCTCCCCAGCCATTCTCCATTCTGTGTGGCACGAAGAGCCCTCAAGGGGCCCTCAGGGAAGATGTGGACCTCTGGGGACGGGACTCCCTGCAGGGCTGTGTGACCTTGGGGGGCAGCTGGGCCTCTCTGTGCCCATTACTTGCCTGCAGGGTGCCTGGGCCAAGATCTGTATCATTAACATGCTGGTGGCTGCCTGTCCCTCCCTCACCTTGGCTGTTGTCAGCACTGCCTGTCAGCATAGGGCCACGGGTGGGCAGTGGGGGACCCGGGCGGGCTGCACAATGACCTCCATCCATCCATCTCTGGCACCTGGGAGCTGCTGCTGCAATCAGGTCAGGCCTAAGCAGCCTTGACTGCAGCCATGCCAGGTGGCCATCGCCACCTCCTTTGTGACTGCATAGAGCTAAGTCGAGCCTGGGAAGAGAGGCTAAGGCCCCGAGTCGGAATCTGCCCCCTGGGCCAACAGCCCCATGTCCCTGCTGGAGATGCTGTGGGTCTTGGCACGTGAGGTGAACTTGTTGCTCTGCAAAGCACCCCGCCAAGTGCCCCACCCCACCCCACAATCCCTTCTTTCCTAGAGACAGACAGGCAAGGGTGGTTGGCCAAGGTCATCCATCAAGGGTGCATGCAGATGCGTGCTCACGTGCGTGCGCGCGCGCGCACACACACACACACACACACTGACACATGGTGACCAAGAAGTGAAGAGGCCCCATGTGTTCAGACTCCCAGGTCCCCTTTCCCTTCCGTGGAGGCACACGGTCCTCCCACAGCTGCCTGGTGCAAGGGGTGGAGGCCAGAAGCCCGAGTTCTAATCAGACCCTTGCTACCATCTTGCTGTGTGACTTGGGCGCGTCACATACCCTCTCTGGGCTTCAGCTGTACATCTGTAAAATAGGTAGTAACAATCCCTATCCTGATGATTTTCGGAAGCCAAAGAAGCAAACTGACTCGACAATCGGACACCACTCCAGACCGAAGACAGCCCCCAGCCAGCCTTGGGGCAAAGGGAGAGCCCAGCTCCTGGCCCGCAAACACCTGGCCGCTGCACGGGCCGGGCCACCTCCTCCTTGCTGTACAGCAGGACTGCAGCAAGCTCCTCGCAGAGCCTGGGGCCCAGCCGGGGTGCCGAGTCCGGTCAGGGCATGAGACAGGGGCCCCAGCGCCGGGGGGCGGTGTAAGGACACCGGGGGACCAGGTCAGGCCGAGCCCCGCGGCTTTGGAGGGGAGGGGGCGCCTGGCAGGCGCTGGGCAGGCTGGGGTGGGGAGAGGCCTTTGGCGGCCACAGAGAACAAAGAGGCTGGGGTTGCCAGGAGATTTTGTGGAGCTGGAGCTGGTGGTAGGGCCGGGAGAGGGGCCGTGGCAGCCGTGGGAACTGCGCCTGCTGCCCCCACGCCAGCTCCCCCCCCCGCCCCAGACTGGGCCTCAGGGCCAGGCTGCAGGGAAGAGGGGCGGCCGGGGACACCACTCTGTCCTTAGAGTTGCATGCTGTGAGGGCAGAGGCCCAGGCAATGCTGCACGTCCAGCCACACACGGCACAGTGTCAGCATCCCTGAGAGGGTCGCAGGTGCACGTTGACACACGATGTCACAAGCACACACCCAGGGTTGTGCAAGTGGTGTCACGGGGTCTCAGCTTGGTCACCGGCCAGCATCAGACCCTCCCATGGAATCCCCGGCGTCAGTCTCAGGGCCACACCCATGATGGTTACACAGACACAATGTCACAAACCACCGAGACTCACCCAGTGTGTCACAGGCCCATGCATGCCGCACAACATCAGTGTCACAGATCCAATGTCACACACACGGAGCTGGTCCGTGTCGCACACATCACACTGGCTCTGCCACAGGACTGCACAATGTCATTGGATCACACGTGCCATGTCACCGAGCACCCCAATGTGCAGCTACTGACATCGTGCATTAACCCACAGCCGTATGAGGTCTCCCAGAGCCTGCCACACAGTCACAGACCTGCTTTCGTGTCACACACAGCCATACTGTTGCACAAGGCCTCACACGGTTGTCAGGGCCTTGGAATCTGTCTCTCACGCACACACACACGCACGCGCGCACACACTCGCGCACGTGGCTGCATGGAGGCTGGGTTTGTCTCCAGCACCGTGCGTACCCCCACCCACCCCTGCCATCCGGGGGGGCGGAAGGAGAGCACGGGCTGAAGGCTCTCAGGTCACCAGGAGGTCAGGCTCCCAACGGTAGCAGAGCGGAGCGGAGGGCACCCCTAGGGAGGGGAATTGGGCGTACAGCTCCGCAGGGAGCCTGCCTCTGAGTACTTCTCCGTCAGCAGGAGAGCAGCAGGGGTGAGCCCGCAACAGAAGACACCGAGGTGCTAGGTACAGGGAGAGACACGCACGGACTCAGAGACGTGGAAGGATGACAAGACACAGAGACACAGCGTCAGAAACCAGGAGACCATCAAGAGAGAGATTCAGAGACAGCGAGCCAGACAGAAATGGTTAGAGGTGGACGTGCCGGAGCAGGGCCTGGCCAGGGCTGGAGCCCGCGGGGGGACGGGGCGGCAGCGAGCCCACTGGAGGGGGGCGTGGGAGCGGAAGATGAGGCGGCCAGGGCTTTAGGGAGGACCCACAGCCTGGGCAGAAGGTGGGGGACATCTTGGTGAGATTTAGGTGAATAGCTTTAAAATAGCAGCACCAGCTGCCATTTGACCGAGTGCTTATGATGAGCCAGGCCCTTCCCTAGAGTGATCTCATTTCATCCTCAGGCGACTTTATGGAGGAGAGACAATTATTGTCCCCGTTTCCCAGATGAGGTAACTGAGGTCTCATCATGTGTTCAGCCCACAGCTATCCCCACCCTTGCCTGGACCTCCTCCAGACCGAGGGGCTGGCCTCCCATTTCCACAAGCGGAGCACAGAGGCCACACTGGAAGACGTGAGGGGCTTCAAGCTTTGGGCTTCCGTGTCAAGGGGGAGGCCCAGGAGCCATGGCTGGGCTGTGGGTTGGCACACTCAAAAGGTCCAGGCTGGCTGAGTCCCAGCAACCCCCTCCGGGCTGGCACTGGAGCCGTCCACCCCACACCTGTAGGCATGCCAACGAGGGCTGGCCGAGGCCATCTGCGGCCTGTGTACTGCCAGCAGCAGGGCGGGGGGCAGGCCGGGGCCTCCTGCCTGGGTGCCCCCTGCTGGCCAGGCTGCCCACCCTGCCGACCCCAAGGACGACCGCCCCTGCCCACTCGAGCACCCGGAGGTGCTGCAGTGTGCCTTGGGCAGGGGACGAGGGTGCCCCTGGCTGCAACACCTCCCCCTACTCCCCGCTGGACGCCCCCCTCCGGCAGAGCCGCCTGGAGAGATCACAGGCAGCCACATGAAAGGGAATTTTTCCCAGGCAGAGCCGGAGTTGAAAGCTGCCTCCCCCACCCCCACCTGCCCCCGCTGTGCCAGGCCAGGCTGCTGAGCTCCTGGCGCTCTAAGGGAGTTTGTGACGCCGGGAGGGGGCTGGGGGTCAGAGCCCCCACCCAATACAGGCTGCTTTTCCTCCTCCCGGGAACAATGGCAGAGGCGGGCAGCCCATCTGCCCCAGCTCACTGCCCACTCACCTTCACAAGTTGCCCCTTCCCTCATCCCAGAAAGCCCTCACCCACCTGAAGCGAGGCCCCTGACATTGTCAGGAAGTCCTTCTTCCAGTCTAGCCTCCATCTCAGCCAGGCTCCAAGCAGCTGGGTGGGAAGAATGTCTGCCCGTCAAGTGGATGATAGGTCTCATCCTGCAGGCCGGCCTCTGTGATGTGCAGGGGTGGGGGCCGTGCAGCTGTCACCCCTTCCTGTTCAGGCTGCCTTGGCCTAGACCATGTGGCTATGTGGTGATTTCCCCAGACATCTGGCCTCCGAGGTCGCAGACAACCTTGAGCCAACAAACTTTCTGGGGGTGGGGAAAGTCGCTCAAGGATACCCCCCTCCCGGCTTCAGTCCAGCCGCCCTCAGGCCCGAAGAGGGATATGGGGGGCGGGGGGGGGGTAGGGGTTTTTCTGTGTGCATTCTGGGCACAGCCAGGTCCCTACAAATCTGGGTTAAAACTGCTCCCTGGGGATCACCTCAGTGGTTGGGGGAGCAACAGATCCCTGCAAGAAAGAACGAAAGAAAGCGAACAGGCCGCTCGGGCCCCACCTCCTGTCCTGCTGGCTGCTCTGCACTGGCCAGGCCCTGACGACAGTAGAGAAGGTGGCCCCAGGTGAGAGAAGGTCCCTGGAGGTCCGGGTTCTGAGGCAGAGGGTACAATCGGGCAGGCGAGAATGTTCCAGAACCAGCCATTTCCCGATTAACAGCACTTCCACCACGCCAGCCGGGCTGGCTGTTTCTGCTTGACCCCCCCCGTCAGGATCTGCCGGACCTGACTCCCCAAGAGAGCCCGACTCTCAGTGTCCCCGGGCCATCCTTCTTCCTTCCCAGGGTGGCTCCACATCACCCCTGCCCAGCAACAGCCCCCAAGCCAGCCCCCCCAAACCGGAGAGCAAGAAGCCAGCGGTGCTTCGTGACACAAACATGCATTCGTTTTATTCACAAAACAGCCTGGTTTCCTAAAACAATACAAACAGCATGTTCATCAGCAGGAAGCTGGCCGTGGGCAAGGGGGCCCAGGCCGCAGGGCCCCCCCCACCCCGGGGCACCCACACCCACCGGCAGGGGGCCACGCAAAGAAGCCCTTTCTTCTGTGGCCATGAGCAAGGCCAGAAAAAAAGGACTTATTTTCTCTAAGGGAAGTAGCCAGGATCGGAAATATCGAGACATGGGCTCCCCAGATCTCAATGGATAAAGGAACAGAACTTTCATTTTCGCAAAATCATCGTTGTCGGGGTGGGGGATCCCATTCTGGGGACCGCGAGTGCAGCGTGGGCAGCCCGGGCGCAGGGGTGGGGGGGCTGCTCCCTCCCCCTCTGTGAGCTCCTGGCCGCAGCCCGGCCCGCGTGGATGGGTACAGAGGGGCTTCGCCGCGGCGCCATCAACATTCTCTTTATAAACGTGAGTGGATTCTCCAGGCAAACTATGCACTATTTCATGGTCGGAAAGAATCAAAGGAAGTTTAAATGAGGGTGGAGTTAAACTGTGCTAAATTACAGTAGTGCTTATTAGTAACTAGATTTCAAAAGGTTACAGAAAATTTACATTCTCTACACAAAAACTGCATCTCCTGCACAGACAACATCGACATCGACAACAGGAAGGAAACTGATTGTCCATTCTTTGCCCAGGAAGTCTCGGTACTTTATAGATTCGTCTCTACCTCTTTTTTTGTTGTTGTTGTTGTTCTTCCGAAAAAGCAGTTAAAATTTTTTTTTCCTTTTTCTTTTTATACTAGGGACGTGGAGATGTTAAAACGACAACAAAAAATATATATATAAAAACAGGAATGAAATCTGTGAGAGAATATTTTTGGTTCTAAAGACGGGTGCATCCGTTTGTCTTCGCCCGAATCCCTTGCCGGAGACCACACGAGCAGTGACATTGCACGGAGAGGGCAAGCTTTGGGTTCCCGCCGCCGTCACTGAAACCACCGGAAGGCGGCTCCCGTCGGAAGCATCACCTTCTGAAGGCGGGGGCGGGAGACAAAAACAAGGAGAGAGTTCAGTCAGGGTCCGGCGGGGCCTGGTGCAAAGGTGCTCCCCCGTGGAGGGCCTCGTGGCGGAGGGACGGGCCTGGAGTAAAGGCAGCCACCCCGTGGAGTTCCTGCCATCCTGACCGGGCCAGAGAAGAAGCCTTGACCCGCGGGGCCGCTGCAGGGCCCGGAGCACCCCGAGGCCCCCTGAGCCACTGTGTCCAGGAACCCTCCTCCTTCCAAACAGGAAGACCCATTCCCCCGGTCCAGAGGCCACGCGCGCCAGGTGGCTGTGGTGCGTCTGGGGGCTGTGTGCGTGGTTCTGTCGAACGAGCGTGGCAGCGTGCGCACCGGCTGCCCGTGTGGATGTGCACCCCGAGCTGGGCTACGGTGGCTAGTGCGTGTGCGGCTGGGGTGGGGACGAGGGAGACCGGCTGTGTTAAGAGGCTACGTCTATAGAAAGACTGTGGACTGGGCAGGGAGGGGTGTGTGCGTGCGTGTGTGTGTGTGTGTGTGTCTACAAGAGATGAGAGCGGGTGCCTTTGTGTGCATATAGGTGTGTTCTCTGGGCAGGAGAGCAGATATATGAGGTTTGGGCCTTGGGGGTGGGGAGTAGCCACGGCTGGGATGTCATTATTGTTTTCCAACCATTCTGAACATTTGCGTCCAGCCCACTCATAGAGGGGCGGGGCCGGGGCCGGGACAGCAGGCTGAAAAGATGCTTTTGTACCAGACCTGGCACCAGCGCTAGGCTGCCACGGCTGGGGGCACAGGGACAAGCTCTGCCATGAGCGTGGAGAGAAAGCAGCATGGGAACCCTTCTGCCTGCTCTAAGCCCCTTCCTGTGCAGGCTGCCTTGGCCTAGACCATGCGGCTATGTGGTGATTTCCCCGGAAAGCCAATCATCCCAAAGTGGACAGGCCTGGCCTACACCCCAAGATCACAACCACCCCCTCACCCTAGGCCCATAGGACCCCTGGCCATTTACCTACGCAGCCAGACTGACCTCGGGGCCCCAAGAAACCCCAAATCCGTCAACGAGATATCTAGACGCAGGGTTCTCCCAGGCCTCGGGGCAGGGCAGTGAGCACCGGGGCGGCCTTAGGGGAAAGGCTGGGCTCTGAAGGGGCGAGTGAGGGGCTTTACCCCTTAAAGCCACATGGCCCACAGGACAGAACCCCTCAGGTGGGACAAGGGAGAGCCCCAGAATCTTAGGGCACAGACTGGAAACTTTAGGATACGTCTGAAAGTCAGAAACTTGGGACCTCAATGGCTGGCCCAAAACTCCAGGAAGGGGTTCAGAATCCCTGGGCCTGGCTGGAAATGCGAGGCCCCCGCCTGGAACTCGATGCTTGCCTTGCGAACTACGACCTAATGAGATCTCAGGATGTGGCGCTGACTTTCTGGGCGATGAACTGGTGTCTGGGAGCCTGCTCCAGAACCCCAGAGCCCAGGGATTGGCTGAGCAGCCCCCAGACACTGGCCCAGGTAGGAAAAGGAGGGTTGGGGGGGTTGGGGTGGGTTTGGACTGCCAGACAGACACAAGAGCCCACACACCTCCCTCTAAGGCGTCGTTACCTCCAGAGCAGCGGAAGGCTTCTTTTTGAGTTCCTCACATTTTCTGAATTTGCAAATCTGATGGCCAGTCTTTCGGTTCCTACAACTGCTGCACTGCTCGCAGTTGATGCGCCGCCGGCAGGGCGCGCACATGCCGCAGCGTTTCCGCTTCTTCTTGCCCGAGCTGATGGCCGAGGCCAGCTCTCCCTGCATGGGGTACTCGGCCAGGCCGGCCATGTGCAGCGCGCTCTCGGCCAGGAACACGCCCGCCGGGGTCATGATGAAGAGGCCCGGGTTGATGGGGAAGGCGCCCAGGTAGGGGAAGTCGGACTGGCCGTTGAGGGCCTCGGCGCCCGCCACGGCCTCCATGTCGGGCAGGCCGGCGCCCGCCTCGCTCATCAGCGGCAGGTGCTCCTGCACCACGCGCTTCAGCATCTCCGTGGACTGCGCGAACTGCTGCAGCGTCAGCTGTCCCTCGGCTGCCAGCTCCGTGGCCCGCTCCGCCTTGCTCAGCAGGCTGGCCACAGCACCACTTTTGTGCTTTGAGGTAGGGTTGCTTTTGTCCACGGCCATGGCCGCCGCCAGGTCGTGCCCGTTGGCCAACAGGGAGGCGGCAGCTGCGGCGGCGGCAGCCTTTTCAGCAGACTCGCCGCCCATCATGCTGCCGCCGCCCCCGCCGCCGCCCCCGAAGGAAGAGTAGTGGGAGAGAGGGCGGGAGCGGCGCAGGCTCTTGTTGAGGGGTTCGCTGATGATGCCGCTCTTGTTCCGACGCTCGGGGGGCGGAGCATCATCCGCCACCGCGGCTGGCGCGGCCGTGGCCACCGCCGCGCTCTTGTCGGCCACTCCCGCCTTGGGGCCGCCGCCGCTGTTGCTGCTGCTACTGCCACCGCTGTCCTGGGGGCTACTGCCGAGGCTCGACATGGTGGGGCCGAGGCCCAGAGCCCACTGCTGGGGGCGGGGGGGGGGGCTGCCAACCGCGGGGCGTCCACAGACGAGCACCGGCCCGGCTGCCCACAGCACAGATGCCTGGTGGGCCCTGCTGCTCAGGGCAGGCTCATGGTCAGGTGTGCACGGGAAGGGTCTTCACTCTGTTGGGACAAGAGGGGACAGAGTCAGGGCGGCGGTAGACATCTCCTTCCCCCACATCACCACCACCACCACGACCAACAACGGTATCTCCGAAAGCCCACTCTAACAACCGCAAGCCCTGCTGGGCACTTATTACGCGCCAGACCCAACACGGTTAGGTATTTTTTGTGTACTATTTTTTTTTAAGATTTTATTTATTTATTTTAGAGAGAGGGAAGATAGAAAGAGAGTGAGCAAGCACGAGTGGGGAGAGAGCAGAGGGAGAGGGACAAGCAGACAAGCAGACTGCGCTGAGCGCGGAACCCGATGCGGGGCTCGATCCCCCACAACCCTGAGAGCATGACCTGAGCCGAAACCAAGAGTCGGACGCTTAACTGACTGAGCCACCCAGACGCCCCATTTGTACTATCTCAGTGAAGACTCACAAGCACCCTTTGAAGTAGTGGCTAATAATTCTCTATTTTGTAGATGAGGAATGCAACGTTTAGAAGACTTGACCATGGATATACAGTTGTCGAGTGTCACGGTGGAGGCTCAGCCAGGGTCTGACCAGCCCAGATCTCCGGCCCATTCTTCCTGGGCTGGGGGGTAGGAAACAACTGAGATGTTTATTAACCTTGGAGGGTTACAGAGTCACATTTTGCTTCCTAATCTTCCTTCCCTGACCCATCTACAAAAGGATTTGGAACAGCCTCTGCAAAGCTTGAAGGTTTAGACCAGAAGTCTGGGAAGTTGGGATGCCTGGGTGGCTGAGTAGGGGCATCCGACTCGATTTCGGCTCAAAACGTGATCTCAGGATCGTGGGATCCAGCCCTGCGTTGAGCTCTGCGCTCAGCGGGGTATCTGCTTGAGATTCTCTCTCTCTGCCCCTCCCCCTGCTTACACTCCTGTGAGTGCTCTCTCTCTAAATTAAAAAAAATCTTAAAAAAAAAAAAAAGTCTGGGAAGCTGCTCCCAGACTCTCATTTGGCAATTCCTAATACATATGGATTATCTCAAGGCTCTGACAAGTCCTGCAGGGAAAGGAAACTGACTTAAAGAGGTTGCCAAATAGAGCACAGAATCCGTATTTCAAGGAGCATGTATCCTCCTGCTAGAGAGCAGGCAGCACTGTGCCAGAGGATAAGCCTTCTCCTGTAAGAGTGGGAGAACAAACTGTGCACATATCGGCACACGCTTCCTCCTCACTCTCTCCCTCTTTTTTAAAGATTTTATTTATTTATTTGACAGCACAAGCAGGGGGGAGCAGCAGGCTGAGGGAGAGGGAGAAGCAGGCTCCCTACTGAGCAAGGAGCCCCATGCGGGGCTCGATCCCAGGACCCTGCAATCATGACCTGAGCTGAAGGCAGATGCTCAACCGACTGAGCCACCCAGGCGCCCCCTCTTCACTCTCAAACCACAGTCGTCATTACCTCAGACCCCACTCTTGTCTCTACTCAGGCCTCCCTGCTGTGCTCCGGCCTGGCTCCCAGATGGGTCTGGGATGAGGTCCCAGCGAGAGCCCAGAGCTGGGGTAGGCTGTGGGCAGGAGGGGCCTCTGGCTGGTGCAGGCTGGACTGAGAGTGGGTGTGACCCTCCAGGGAACAGAGCCTGTTCTTCAGCCACATCCACATTTCTGAGGTGCCCTTCCTAGGACAGAGCCTGCTCTGCTCAAGCCCCAGGATCAAGGCTTATGAGCAGCCAGGCTCCTTGGTCAGGAGCTCTGGAACGAACTGTCCAGAAGGAGTGGAATGGCAGTTTCCTCATCGGCCCTGGCTCTCTAGCATCCTTTCCTTGCCTGCCTGCCTGGCCCAGCAACCCCTGGGAGAGGGGCGGGAGGGAGGGCCCAGCCTGAGCAGCTGGTGGCTCAAGGGGGGGGCGCACATCTGGCCAGGGCTGTCCCGCCCTAGGCTTGGGGGCGGCACACATACATCTTTGTCCCCAGGCAACCCCACCATCCCCCAGTCACAGGACTCTGCCGGGCCTGGTCCCTGGTCCCAGGAGGTCATCTAGTCCAACCTTCTGCGCTTCCACAGGGGGAAACTGAGGCCCAAGCCGGCAGGGCCCCCTGCTCCGGGACTGCTAAGGAGTGGCCACAAGGAGGAGCGAGTGTAGGAGAGGGAAAAGCTCTGTCTCCTGAGTGAGGCAAAAATGGCAGGCATCAGCAGACAGCCAGACGCTCCCTGCCTCTCCCCAGAGGGCAATGGCCCACGTACACTCCTTTCTAGTGAAGGCAGATGGGTGGCAAGGAAGAGCTGGGCAAGCTGGCAGATTCTACCAGGACAAACCCAGGAGGGCCTGGCAGGGTGTCCAGCCTGGGCTGGGGGTACCACAGAGGTCAGAGTTGTACCGAGAGGCAGGGATCGGGTACAATAGCCGTGTTCTGTCCCACCTGCTAAGAGCTAAGCCCAGGGTGGCTCTTCAGGCCCTCCCTCAGAAATTAGCACCCCTCTAGGCGGCAGTGACCCTGGCTCGGTGTCGGGAGACTAGGGCCAGCGACCATATCAGCCCATCTGAGCTCAACTACCCTGCCCTGGAGCGCACGGTGCCAGCAGGCCCAGACATGGTGAGGGAAGAAGACAGGAGAAGGCAGGAGCCCTTGGGTTGGAGAGGTGGGGGAGAGGTGGGGAGGGGAGCAGTCCGTGCCCTAGCCCCCCTGTGTGTCCCCGCCTCTGCGGCCTGCTGGCTGGTGGCAGAAATCGATAGCTGCATTAACGCTGTTCTTGCTCTCCTCCCTCCCTCCCTCCTCCCAGCTCCAGGATCTGGCTCTGTGTGCAGGGCGGGCAGGTCAATTAGAAGTCAGCTCCCTCCAACAGGGGCGGGCGTTCAGGGCTGGTGCTCTGGCCGAGTCTCTCTCTGCTTTTGTCTCCATCCTGAGTCTCGTCATAGGGACCAAACCTCATGTTCTGTTCATCTCTGGCCCCTTCTTTGAATCTCTCTAACCTTTTCTTTCTTTTTTTTTTTTTTGTCCTTCCTCAGGGACTTCCCTCTCGAAGCCCCCCAGGTCCTGGGACCTACTGAGCTATGGAGCAGAGGACGGGATATGTCATCAAACAGGTGCCGCAGGCAGAACACTGGTTTGTCAGCCACAGAAACTGAAGGTGGGGAGTACACAAGGGGGACTGGCACCCAGGTTAACTCTGTCCTCAAACCCCAGAGTGGGCAGATATCAACATCTAGTTAGTCCCCAAGGCCTGGTCTCTAAGCTTGTTCAAAATCTGCCCCTATACCTGGCTCATCTCCTTTAGACCCTGGGAAAGGCTGATGCCCTGGTCCCAGTGGACCACGGACCACAGGGCTTGTCTGCCCTCCTCATGGCAGGGGAGGACGTAAGACCTTCTCCCAGGCCCCAGCCCTCTACTGCAAGGCACACAGCAAACCCCTCGCAGGCCAGGAAGGGCCTGGCAGTGCCCAGGCAGCAGGGGAGGAGCTGGGGCTGCGTTGAAGCGGAGCGGGAATGAGCGGGAGGGAAAGCTGGCGGGCAGGCGGGCGGCGGCGGGCGCATCCATCATCGGCCCTGCCAGGAACGCATCCAGCCCCCAAAAAGAAATACTGCGCCTGAGGAGGGACAACAAAGGGCTCCGTTTCATCAGCAATGCGGAGCCAGCGCCCCGCCGCCCCGCCAGCCGCGGTCAGCCCACAAAGGACCCCTTTGTCCATGCAGGAGCCGGGCCGGCCGGGAGCTGGGACCAGGGGCTGACGGGCGGGGACAGAGCCCAGAGGGAGGGGGGTGGGGGGGAACCAGTCCTGGAGAGCTGGGGGGCAGAGGGGGACACGGGGGGGGCAGAAGAACAGAGACAGGTGGTGCAGATAGAGGATCGTGAGACAGAACTCGAGGGGCGGGTCAGAGAAAGAGGGACTTGGAGAGGACAGGGCAAAGGGTCAAGGTTAGAGAACAGAGCCTCATGGGAAGCAGAAAACAGAGGGACTGGGCTCAGAGAGATCCAAGGCTCCTAGCCCAGCTCGGAGACTTGAGGTTCTGACAGACACGGAAACAGCGCTGAGGAGAATCCTAGACTCAGGGACCTAGGGACCAAGAGAAAGCAGTTGGACATGCAGAGCCCACGGCTCTAAGAGCCCCCAGCCCACTCTGGCCCACGGCAGGGGAAGCAGAGATTGCTAGGGAGGAGCCTGAGGGTCAGCAGGTTCTTGGCCTCAGGGCCTGGCCATGGGACCCAACCTCCTATGGGCTCTAGCTCACAGGCTAAGCTGGGAAGGCAGGAAGTCAAAGCTGGGGCCTCTCTCCTGACACTGGGACCATCCCCCTGCCTCTCCTCCCAGGCTCTAGCTAGCCCCAGAAGACACAGACCCACCCCTCTCCAACCAGCTCCCAGCACCAAGTGACGCTCAGGGTCCCTTAACTTACTAACCCTATCAGTCAGCATTTATTGAGCACCGACTGGATCTCAGGCTCTGTGCTCCTAAGCTTTACATGGAAACCAGGGAAATAGAAACTATTAAGCAGTTTCAGGGATGAGGAAATTGATGCTCAAAGAGGATCAAACTGTCAGGTCAAGGTCAAATGACTGGTTAGAATTTGAACCCAGAGCCCAAGTGTGTCACCCTGCTGTGTGACCACTTTTGCTCTACCTATGCAACTGACAAAGTAGCCCAGGGCAAGGTGACCCAGCCGTCCCAAGGCTGCACCCACCCCCCAGGGTTGTTACCGTGCCTGTCACCTTTATGTGGATTGGGGGGGGCGAGTTGTCACAGACCCCAGGGAGTGTCTTCACCTGGGGGACTTGGAGATGCCCAGGCAGGAACCCAGAATGCTGGGCCGGTGACATCATAATGCCAGCCGACAATGAGGTCACCAGAGGTGATGGTAATGCCCTCACTCCTACCCTGAGCCCCAGGGGAGCCAAGATTCACCCCCAGACAGAGCCTGAGCCCTTCGGGCCAGACCGCAGTGGGGGCAGGGGCCCCGGTGGGACACGCACACAGGTGGCCCACAGTGAGATGTTCTAGAAGTTCAGTTGCACACATCCCCCTCCCGTTTCCCCAACAGCTGCCCCATGCCCGGGGGTACGGGGGAGACAGCGCAGGATCCGGACTCGGCACTGCCCTGGAGGAGTACACAGGTGCTAGGCCCATGGTCCCATGAACCAGTATGAAATGAGAGCGGGAAGGTGACCAAGTGGAGCACTGGGGGCCTTTCTGGAGGAGGAACTGCTAGCCTGTGAGTTAAAGATGAGGAGTGGTTACCAAAGGGGACATGAGCCTGAAACGGTTCTTAAGAAAAGGGGAAGAGGGGCGCCTGGCCGGCTCAGTCGGTAGAGCATGCAACTCCTGATCTCGGGGTGGCGGGTTTGAGCCCCACGCTGAGGGCAGAGTTTACTTAAAAAAAAAAAAATGGGGAAGAGGGTGTGAGGTATGGTCGTGAGGCTGGCAGGGTCCCAACTGGGCAGGGCACTGGGGCCAAGGGTAGGATTTTTTTCAAACAGCTTTACTGAGGCATGGTTTACACACTATAAAATTTAACCATTTGTAAGTGTACAATTCAGTGATTTTTAATAAGCTTACAGAGTCGTGCCACACCACCACCGCCAAGGCCAGAGTCTGAGCAAGGCGCCATCCCTCTCTTGCTCCTTTGCTGGCTAGAACAAACTTCCAGCCGTCCTTCCTGCTTGAGGGAAGGCTTCCTGGAGGAGGGTGCATTCTGGCGGGGCCTTGAGGAGCCCGAGCCACTGGCCCAGCAGGGCACACCATTCCGCCATCGTCTGGGCGGGCCAACACTGCCGACTTGCACACTCCAGCTCTTCACACTCTTCCCCACACTCCCCTGTGCGCTCCTGACATCCCTGTTACATCCTCTTCACGCCCCTCCACCCACGTTGGTGGCTGGTCTTCCTGGCCTCCAAGGGAGGTGAGATGGACAGACAGACGGATGGTGGGCAAGCCAGTGGTGGCGAAGAGAACAGACCACAGGCTCTGGTGGCTGAGCGGAGCTGAGGCTGAGCAAGCGGGGGGGCAGGGGGTGGGGGCGTCGTCTCTGATTTCCATGATTCAGCCTAGGGAGTTTCCAGAAGAAAAAAAAGCTCCACTCAGGCCCAAGGCAATGCACACGGAGACACTGGTCTTGGAAGCTGGGAGAAAGGCAGTCCTCACCCGAGAGCACAGGGCACATACCCAGCTACAGACGAGCACACACACAAAAGCACACACCCCTGCTGACACCCAGCAGATGGCCTGGGGCAGGGCATGCCCTCAGCACCACTAGACTCTCCCCAAGACAGAACAGGGGGCTGGAGTCCTATTTCCCTGACCCTCTTAGACCCCTCCACCTAAGGCAGGCACAACCCCGTTGCCTGAAGAATGAAATATGCTGAAGAAAACCCTAGGAGTCCATGGGGCTCTATTCTCCCTTACAGAGCTCCCAAAAAACAGTTGGAGGAGGGGGTCAGCCCATTCCATGTAAAGGAACACTGAGGGCCCAGGCAGGAGGTATGCCCTGACCTGGGGTTCTAGGGAGTGATCTCAGACACCTCTGATAAAGACCAAGGCTTCCTCACCAGGCACCTCCTTCAGGCCAGGTTCCCTCCCTACGAGAGTCAAAGGATCAGGAGGGTCCTTTCCTCTGTGTGACCTTGGCATATGGCCTCTGAGTCTATTTCTCTATCTGTAACATGGAACCAGGAGGATAAGAGTTACTATGTTAAGGAGGACTTCCTGTGTGCCAGACGCTATATGCTTTGTCTCAATGAGTCTTCCTACACACCTTCTGAAGGAAGATGATTATTGGCCCATTTAGAGCAAGCAATTCGATAAGCAGTTGAGATGCAGGGAAAACGGATGCCCGCTCTACTGCGGACCCTCTGGATCTAGACTAACATTTCCCAAAGTAATGTCTGAGCTGACATCAACCTGGGGTCAGAGCCACACACTGACTTAGGACCTCCTTCCCGGTGGACAGTGCAGGAAGGTTAGCTCAGAGATAACTGGGCCAAGGAACTAGAGGGGGATCTGTCCTCTTAGCGCTTGCGTGTGAGGAGCAAGGGTGTTAACAGGACCATCCAGGGGACTAGAATCCTAACGTCTAGGTTTGTGGCTCCATCCTATCTCTTCCTGTTGATTTGACTGTGCCTTTCCCCTACAATGAGTCTCAGTTTCCCATCTATAAAATGGAGAATGGTTCTTACTTCTTACCCCGAACTGTAGATCCCCGAGGGGGTCCATGAGGAAAAAAGTAGAGACACACAGGAAAAAAAGACTCCAGATAGTGACCCCTCCCACCCTCCAAATCCCAGAGGACCTGAAACTGCCCATGAAGTGATCTGCAGACAGGGAAACTGAAGTCTGGAGAGAAGGTTCTGAACAGGTCCTAGGGTTGAGACCCTGTCAGGCTTATTGGGGAGAGGAGCATCTAGCTCCTTCCCAATGCTACCATCTCCCCAGAAGAAATGATGATAGCAGACCCTCATAACACACACTCACTCTACCGGTATGGTGCTAAGCACTTTACACACATTTTCTCACTGAATTTTTTCTGTAACTCTTTAACTCATATTGTCACCCATTTACAGATGAGGCCACTGAGACTCAGGGAAGTAAAGTCACCTGCATAAGGTCACAAGGTCAATAAGCAGCAAAGCGAGGATTTGAAACCAGGTCTGTGTGACTCCAAGGCCTGGCTCTCCCACACTGGCCAAGGGCTCTGAGGGACATGGAAGGAGGGCTTATGGCGGGAGGCTGAGGACCAGTTCAGCCCAGCCTAGGGGTTCTGGGGTGAGGGGGAGTGGCTCTCAGGCTCTGGGCAAAACACGTGAAGGCACTGCTGCAGAAGTCTGCAGCTGTACCCTAAGGCCCAGGAAAAGACAGGGGAAGGGGCTGCGGGTGGGCCGGACGGGCCAGGCTGGGCCAGAGCTCCGGGCATTCCGGCGGCCTCCGCAGGAAGCAGAATGGGACGGAAACCGGCTCCTGCCTCCTCCCCCAGAATCCTGTGGGCAGCCCAGCCGGGCCGCACAGAGGCCCTCTTTGTGCCTGCCCCAACCCGCCACCCGCGGCTGGCCCAGGGTTTTGAGTTTCCTGGGGGGGTGGGGGCCCTGTCACTGCTAAACCTCCAGCTACCTCCCCCTCTCAAGGGTGGCCACAGTGGTCCACAGCTGGTGGAGGAAGTGAGTGGATGCCCAGGGCTACCCCAGAGACTCTGGGGGGCCCGGAGTCTGCCCACGTCTCATACCCCCAACACTTACACACCTTAATTGGGGGCTGGCGGCGGGCAGGGACCCAGGGAGAACCCGAGAGGCCATCCCCCTGAGCCGGCCTCTCTGCCAGAAGCCACGTGTCCACCTGATGTACCTGGAACCCCCCATCTCACTCCATCTTGGTGACTGGGCCCAGGTTGGTGTACCTGGAGAGGCTGGCCAGGATGGTAGGGCAGTCTGTCTGCCAACCACCATTTCCCACTCTCCAGGGGCTCCCTGGACACAGAGAGCACATCGAGGGAGAGGCCTCAGGCTTACTTCAGCATGTCAGGGACAAAAGCCTCTTGGGTGGTATAAATGTGCTCAAGGAACACTGGGCCCCAGGGAGTGAGCTCTGGCTGGAGCGCGTATCGTGAAGAGTAGCACCACAGACCGGTAGGACTGCGTGTGTCCACCTAGAAGGTGCGTCAGATACTGTACATGCTACACGCATGAGTGTGTGTGCGTGTGTGTGTGTCTGGGGGTGGGGGCTGTGCGTGTGCCCAAGTGTATGTGCACAGACTCAGATGGCACCCTGTGGGTTTGCACACTGATGTCTACACAGGGCTTATATGCCAGTGTCGGTGAAGGTCTTTGTGTGACCCCCTTGTGTGTACACGTGGAGTGTGTGCTATCTACATCCCCGGATGTAAGCATACGCCTGAGTGCGCATGTGTGCGCGCTACAGTGGTTTACACGATGGCTGGATGTCTGTGGGTTCTTCTGGTCCGTGAGCGTCAACACATTGTTGCCATGTGTATACGAGGGTGTGTGTGTGTGTGTGTGTGTGTGTGTGCGCGTGCACGCACATGCACACACACTGTGAGTTGTATCAGGGCTTCGGGGGGTTCTGAGGTGTGAGTGTGGGGCCCAGCCGGGATGGGGACGGTGCAGACAGGAACTGATGCCAGGTGCTGGGGCCCCTAGGGAAACAGGAAGCTGCCCACAGGTGTGCCTGGGCTGTGGTGGGGGCTGGGCTCCACCCACGTTCAGTTTGTCCCCCTGAGAAACCAAGCCAGGGTTCCAGTAGCCGAAAGCCCGTCCCAGCCACGAGGGAGGCACCTTCCTTGCCTGTGTGCTGTTCAAGACGGAACAGCTCTGACCAGCGTCTACCCGCCCCGCCTGGCCTGAGCATGGAAAAAACTGGAAAACAAAAGCCCCCAGACCGCAGGCACTCCCTGCAGAGGCGTGGGGGAAGCAGGCAAGAGGCAGGAGGCTGAGGAGGAAGGAGGGAGGTGTCGCCGCAGCCCCGGAACACAAAAATAATGAGGCGAGAGGGGGCATGGGGCCGAGCCGGCTGGTTCCGGAGTCGCTATCTGACCTTGACAGATGCCACAGCTGGGCGCCGGGGAGAGGAGCCTCGGTGCAGCACAACACCCCCCACCCCCTGCCACCTCCCCCAGGCCAGGTCGATGGACGTCCAGGCGGGGGCCCCAGCCACAGGCAGCCACCCCACCAGGTGGGAGAAGGGAGGCCTCAGTGTGCGTCCCAGCTTGGGGGGGGGGGGATGGCGGTGGGAGGGCACGGAGGCGAGGGAGTGGGGGCAGGGCGCGGCGGGGCCCCGGAGGCAGCAGTGCGGTCTCCTGAGGGCACCGTGGCCTTCAGGTGTGGCCGTGTGTGTGAGACACACAGAGCGTGCTGTTGTGCTTGCGTAGCTGCGAGGCTGAGTGTGCGCGCGGGAGGGAAGCAGAGTGTGACTGTGTGTGTGACAGAGACAAAGATCATACTTGTGTGTGTCCTTGGGGTCACACGAGGCTGGAGAGTCAGGCTGAGGTCCCTGAAATGGGTGTGGCCACACCACTCAGGGGTGGGCACCGATCCCTCCCCTGCCCCCTTCCAGAGCCACAGCTGTCCTGGAGGGTGCAAGCCACGCTGGGGCCAAAAGAGGGAAGGAGGACAAAGAGAGCCACAGCCCCCCCCCCCAACCAAGTTGTCACATGCGGATGGAGCCGAGCCGCCCCTGCGGCCCTCCCTGGCCTACTCTCCCTCCCACGGTGGTGGTGGTCCTGGGCATCAGTGACGGACACCGGGCTGGGCACCACGACTCTGGGGACCCCCATGAGGGACTGGGTGTGAGCTGCGGGAGGGGATGCTGGGCTGGAGGCGGATTAACAATTCCGAGCACTGGCTGCATAATTAAAAAATCATTACAGGCGGGCGGGCAGAGCCGAGTGTGAGCTCACGCTCAGAGCAGGCGGGGACACTGCCATGGCGCTCCCCCTCCCACTGCCTCCCCGAGGAAAAAATCCCACCTGCTAATATAATTATGGAAAAACACAAGCACAGAAATTTGGTTTCAGCAAACAACGTGCCTGAGTGCCCGGGGCCTGCCTGGCCCATCAGCACAGTGAGCAGGCGGGCCGCTCGTGCCCAGAGCTCATGGCAGTGAGGCCAGCCCTGCTGGGTCCATACTCCAGACCCTGACCACCCTCTCCCAGCTCACGAGAGACGCGAGTAGGGGCATGGCGAACCCAGTTCCTCAAATCCCAAATCCAGGAGAAAACTGGTCAGTCCTGATAAGTTTACAAACAGGGAAACTAAGGCTAAGGAATCTGCATAAGGTCACTGTGTTCCTGACAAAGCGGAGGAGGAACCGGATTCCGCCGCCCGGGTGCAACAACCCCTCAGGAGCTCAGTAACCCACCCCCCCCACCCCTTCCCCTGCATCTCCCAGCTTCCCTCTCTCATCAGCCACCCCCCCCCCCCACCTCCGGCTCCTTCCACTCGGTGAGTGGCTCTCTCCCTGAGACTGAACGGGACTGTCCGACCGTGTGCCCCGGCCCGGCCCAGAGTTGCCCCCCTCCCCTGGACCCCACTGTGGGGGCGTGGGGGCGCCCCAGCCTCCCCGTTCGGGGACAGGGCGTCCTGGGCTCGTCTGGGTTAAGCCAGGCGAGCAGAGCTGGCTCCCGCCCCGAGAAGCGCGGCCAGCTCTGGGGCAGAGGCCCCAGGACGGCAGGAACAGCCGCCATCACCTCGGGCCTGGAGCGGGCGGCGGGCGGCGCGGGGAGGGGAG